AAATATTGTCTTGTTGGTAACATCTTTTTCCAATTGAACTTTACGAAATATACATTAATACTGTATATAACCAGGACCTTATCAAGTATGAATTACAAAGGTAGGCTTTAGATATTTAATAAAATATGTAAAATTTTAATTTGTAAGTTAATATAAAGTTTTAAAATTGTAACTTCAAGTTGCCCTTCTAATTTTAAAGCGCAGCAATTAATAAAATCCATATTAAAATTGAATTTCCTGCTGCTTTGACCCCTTTCTGGCCACCACTCGACTGCAACAGATTAAAGATCAAACGGATCCACTCCAGCACTCACTCCCCAGCCATCCGTGCAACCCATTCATGAGTGACCTCGGCCAGATTGGACCCAAAACCAAAACCAAAGTCCGAACCAAAAACCTTTATCGCGGGCGCGCAATCGCAACGGAAGTTGCGTTCAATTTATGGGTGAAATTATCCACTGGCCGGGAGAATCAGCCATCGTGAAGATTTGCTGAGCTGTGGAAATAAATGGAGATCGGAGATCGCAGATGGGAGATACCTGGCCCCGATCGTCATTGGTTGGCATCAGTGCGCCGGGTTTGGGTTCGGGTTCGGGTTGGACAATTGAATTAGAAGCAGGAGTAGGACTCATGAATGGGCCATGGAGAAGTCAAGAAGGGGGCATGAGATCAGCATGTTCGAGGCAGGGCAACCACTGAACCCATTTTCTCACCTGTTAAGGTTGTAAAGACTCGAAAACAACAATTTATCGCTGTCGAGATCGTCGCCTGCCGCTCCTCGAGAGCTTAGGCCTCTTCGATTGACTGGGGGCAGCTATGGGGGAACTACATCTCCATCTCCATCATCGGACTTCTTCGATTGCATTTGGGTTTGGGCTTGGGTTTTGGGCAGCGTCATACGATTTAATTGCTTCGATTGTGTCAGCAGTTTTGTGCGGACACATGTATCCATGTAGTACATGTCTTCATTTCGCTGCGGAAGGGGGCGTTTTGTGGCAGGCAGCTCTGCTCATAGGCGCTCAATAATTTGATGATCATAATCAATGCCCCTTGACTGACATTCGCTGCCGAAGTCGTTGTCGATGCCCAACTTCCCAAACAGCCAGCAACAAAAGGCGCACAAAACTTGTTGAAAGCCGTTTGATCCTTTTGACGAGCCGTTTGATCAGGAGAGGCGCTGCCCCATTGATCCTCGGATCCTCAGATGCCAGATGATTTGGCCGAAAGTCGAGTGTTTGTGTAGCCGCTTAAAAGGCAGCCGCCAATTTGGAACTGGCTGGTCAGGATAACAAGGCGGCGTGGGAGTACTTAGGAGCAACTCACCTCACCTTACCTCATCTCATCTCAATCGATGAGTAAGGAAGTCTGTTTTGCTTTTATTTCGAAATACATTTCCATTTCTATTTCGGCGATGTTCTGTTTTGCTGCCGCTTCTCCAACTTTTAATGCTCGAATCGCATGCGTAGGTTTTCTATGACGATTAAAACCCTCATATGTCAACTTGGCCCATTCATCATCATCTGAGTCGGAGTCTGCCAGCTTGGGATTTGGAAGGCAGACAGACAGAGGTAGCAAACAGTCGCCAGACACTCGGCTGATGAGCTCAAATCTCATCAAGAAGTGTCTGGCTGGCGGTTCGCAGGCATATATCTCTGTCTTACTTGATTTTTTATTTTGGGGAACCTACTACAGCACCTACTTCAGCGGCCTAGCGTGATGACTTAATTTTCATCTCAGTCTGCACTTGGAGAAACTAGGGGGGTTTGATTAGGAGACTTTGAATAGTAACCTCTGTTTGGCGCCTAGAATTTCTTGCAGTGAATTGAGGGCATCTTTAACGCAGCCCGATCAGGTGCCTCTGCCTTTTGGCTCTGTCTTTGGACCATGGTTCACTGGTTAAGTATGGAGCCGGAGTCTACTACTTGAGCGTCACCACAGTGACACACGCAAGTGCTTGGCCTGTCCCGGATCCTCCTCCACCTCCTCCTCCTCCTCCTCCTCCTCGGGAACCCCAGAAACCCAGGAACCCTCGTCATGATGCAGCGCTTTTAGGGTCTGAAGTTGCCAGCAGCTAGTGAAGTTGTTGCCTGGTTAGGAGCTGCCGTTGACTATGAGTATTTGCTGTAATCATTATGGTAGCGCCTGTGCATCGGATGATAAATCTATCTTTTATTAGCATTTCAAACACTCCAATGAGTGAGTTGTTTTGGCCTGGCCTAGTCCCAATTAAAACCGCATTTTTCATCGATCCGAGGGAGATACAAGTGAAATCGTTAATGAGCGCATAAAGTTTTTGGTCTTAGCTCCGGATTTATAGAGCACGAGTCCCTGGTTCTGGGGTGGAGGAGGAGGAGGAGCAGCTCGTTTCCTGGGTGTCGTATATAAATCGCGTGCTGCACTGGAGGTCTTCAAAACGCTTACGAGTTGAAAGCCCCCGGCTAGTCCAACCCAAGTCGAAGACCAAGTCGGAGCCTCATCATCAGCATCCGAGTTGGACGGGCCATTCATTTGGCCTGGGTGTTGACCAGACCAGTCTCGCACTGCGCCTGGGGTCATCGGGCAGCTCCTGTCTTCCCTTCCAGAAAGAGAGCGAGAGACCCGGGCTAATGATGGCCAGTGCGAGTACGAGTATTTGGCCAAAACAAGATTGATTTCCTGAAATCGAAACCTTGAGACGACACGCAAAGGGGCCCAGATCGCAGTGATAATGATGTCGAGAGCCAGTTTTTCTCGCTTCTTTTTGGTTTCTTTTGTATTTCGGTTTGGGGTGGTAGCCATATCATGGTTCGGGGACCGGGGATTGGGGTTTCAGGTCCGCGTCCCCTTCAGCGAAATGCAAAAACAAATTGTTTGTGGGTCAGCCAGGCGAGGGGCAGGGCCTAACAAGGGCGTTCCGTTGTTTCAAGGAATTCAAGGGAAACAGAAACACAGAAAAAGGATGAGGTTGAGGATGTGGATGAGGAGCCTGCCCGGAGGCGGGGAACGACCTCGTCTGGGGCTCCGTCTCTGTCTGTGGACTCCATCCCCAACTCCATCTTCTTCCAGGAGACAAGACAGCACACGGAAGCCTAATGCTGGCCATGTGATTTGCGATTTGTGCTTTTGGGCCTCGATCTGTTTTTGCTGCGGTTTCCTTGGAAAACGCGCCATTCCATTTCTAAATTCTGGCAATGACAAAGCGCTGAATGCTGACTGGAGCAGCAGGAGTGCAACAGCAACAGCAACAGCAACAGCAGCAGCAGCAACTGCAACAGCACAGCAGCAACAGCAGCATGCTAATTTATGAAGTAGCAACTTGCAGCGACATGGATGCAGTAATTATAGCTTGGCAACTTGTTGCCAGCCAGGCCCAACTGCATCATGAATGGAAAGAAAGCCGGGCCAGTTTGCTGTTTTCCATGCTAAACAGAAGCTGTTCTACTGCAGCGGCATCAGGTGAACATGGATGTGGATGAGGATGTGGATGTGGTTGTGGATGCTGGACGTGAACGCGCCCACTCGGTTAGTCCGCCGGGTCGCAAAGAGAGCACCAAACAGCTAAGACAAAAAACAGGAGGCCAACTTCATAGAGACTGAGCTCTCAACACTCTTAAATAAATAATTATTGTTATACCTAATTGAAAAAAAAATGTTTTTTATGTGGCAGGTTCAACTTGATATTCACAGGTCAATTTTACCACAGATTAATGTTAAACTGATATTGAAAAATGGTTAATTTTGATTTATGTCTCCTCGAAAATACTCTCAAATGAATAAACTCTAAAAAAATCAAGAAGGCTATCAAAAGTATAATGATTCAAACCGAGGGTTTTATTTCGAACACGAAGTATAATGTTTTTTAAATAATGTTTTTTACCTTTTATAAACATATCAATGTAATACGGGGTATCAAGTTAAAACTTATACGGATGTTCAGTAAAATATGTATAGTTTGCTAGTAACTCCTTTTTATCAACATGGTTAAACAAAAATGGCATAACATTGTATAATATATAATATGTATATAATATTGTATAATATTGTATATTTTATTTTGATAAATTCATTACATGTCTTAAATGTCTTCTAAAACTTAAGCACCCCCTTTTAGGGTATCGAAATAACTGGCTCAAAAAAGCTAAGAAAAAGGTCCTACCCCGTGGCGTTTTGGCTGTTGATGGGTTGGCTCTGCTGACTGTTCGGCAGCGGCAACAGCAACATGCGGCATGTGGCATGGAGCAACAGCAACAGCAACATGGAGCAGCGGCAACAGCAACATAGTTTACACACCTACCGAAGTCGGGGGCTGGGCACCATCTCCGTCTCCTTCTCCGTCTGCCGAACCCTCTGGCCAGCAACATGCACTTAACTGGTAGCCACAATGCACTTTATAATACCCGGGAACATGGCTTTGGCTCTGGCATCTCTGGCGCGGAATGGGTATGGGTATAGGTTTGGGTATCTGGTATGGGTATGGGTATGGGTATCTGCCCCTCCTCGCTGCTTGATAGATGCGGCTGCCTTGGACTTCCCGGAGCGATCTACCAGGGGGCGTTGCTGCTGTGCTGCAGTGCAACATTGGTGGATAGGCGAAGTGGCAGCAGCAGCAGCAGCAACAGCAGCAGAAGCTGTCGCACCGTTAGTTGGCTTGGGCCTCATTTGCATCGGGCCATAAACACAAACTCGGTGGCCCAGTTCTCGACGCTCTAACCCGAATGCGAATCCAATTGCAGTGAGGTGAACTTTAAGCCGGCGCTAGCCAGCGACCTTGGATTAGCCAAATCCGTTCAGTTCCGTTCTACTGCGACCCTTTTAATCCCTTCTTCCTGCAGGGCAGCTCATTAGCCGCACCACCACCCACCCAGGTAAGGGTTTCTTGGGTCTACGAAGGTGTTTTCGCCCTGTACCAAAATATAATTAGCGAACCCTGGCAAATCTCTTTTTAATGCCGGCCAGTCAGCGGGGGTGTTCCGATTGAAATTGGAGCGTAGCCGAGGGAAGTGTGAAAAGTCGAAGGCGACGCTGAATTTCCGACAAACTGAGCAAGAGGAAGCAAAAGCCGAGGCATACGAAAATGGGAATTAAAAGCGCAGCCGCCTCTCATCATCATCAGCATCATCCTTAGCATCGTCCTCTGCAAAACACTCACGCACACAGGGAATTAAGTTGAGTTCGGAGTTCTGAGTTCTGGGTTTTCTGAGTTCTGTATAGTGAGTTCCCGGTTCCGAGACATTAAAGATGCCGACCAATGCTGAGGATTCTGAATGTGGCGCCGGCCAGGGAGACAATATAAATCATATCACTCACACACAAAGCAGAAGGGTAGGGGAAAGCTGGATCGCAGCCTTTGTTAATTAATTGTGCAGCACCTTTTCTGGCCCTGAATTTTCCTTTTCTCAGATCCGAAAGTCAAAGCAAACTTTGCATTTTTAGGAGGAGGGACCAAATTCTACAATATATTTTATAGTATCCCTACTATTTATAGGGTTTCATTCTGAAGTAGTTCGTTAGATCCATGGCTTTAGAGGTTCTGTTTTTCCTGGCGATTCTGCCAATGGGTAGAAATGAAGGAGGGGAGTGTACAACTGGACTTCTGGTGCAACCCCAGCAGTGCTACCCCCATGAGGAGATCTTTATGAAACCCCATCCCATTCCCCTGCAAAGTATCACCGCCAAGAGGTTGCAACTTCCCTGGTGGTGCGCCCTCTTGGAGAGCCTCTTCCTGCTGCTGCTGATGAAGCTGCTCCAGTTGTAGAGGAGCCCAGGTGAGCCACCACCTTTCCGTAACTGCCGCTGATGTAAGCCAACAATGGAGCGAGCCAAGTGGAGGCGACAAATGTCACACATGCTGCTCGTAACTCGTAAATTGTAAATCACATCGGAAACTGTTTTTTCCCGCTACTCTTGCCACACATGATAATTTGTGGAGGTCTGGCCTAGGTGATTCTAATTAAATTGTTCAAAATGTTACCAGCGCGCTTTTGGGCCTGGCGCTGGAAAATCGCTGACAAATGTTTCCGTCAAAACACAGAAAAAGTTTTCATTTTGTTTTGTCAAAGTCCAGGCCAAATACTATAGCACCCACAGGTGGATGGGCACAGTGGTATGGGGTCTATTGGAATTTATATAGGAAAATATAACTTAAGATTTGATATTAAAAATTCAATCTTATGATCTAAAACCAAATGATTTATTATGAAAAATGTTTATAACGTATTATCAGTTCAAAAAATGTTTAGAAAAATAATAAATTCAAAGAAAGAAATGAAAAATTATTAAGTTCGGATCTGCAATATCTTTCAAAAATTGTATTTATAATTTTTTTTATATTTTTAAAAATCTTATAAAAGCTGCACTGTCCAACTACTCGAACGGGTCAAAATCAACACCCTTACCATTCCATGGTAAATTTAACTTTGCCTTTGAGGAGCAAACTACCTTTTTCCATTCGCCTAAAACCAAAGCAAAACTACGGTTTCCAGATAATTTAAAACGAATTAAAAGCGCAACCGTTTGAAACCTCCCGAACCCAAATAAAGTAAAACCGAACCGAAGGCATCCAATTGAAAATAGCAACAAGTTAATTTGAGCGGTGGGCCTCCCCCTTTTCGCTCCTTTTGGAAAGTCATTAGAAAAAATGTCGAGTCGAGCAATTTGAATATTTCGATGGCAATGTACGCGACTCCGACTCCGCCGGTTAATTTAAGGTGATAATTGCTTTTTAATGTGACACAACTAAATTTTTCCCATTTACATACAGTTGTTGTTGTGCCGGAAGTTTTTCGGGCCTGCGCATGTGCAGCCAAGAGGTCAAAGGGGAAGGAGGTGCAGGAGAAGTGGGAGGGGGCGGGGGCAGACACTTGTTACGTCGTTGGGACAACAACAACAGCCACTTCTACAACCGCCACAACCACTACAATAATAAAGTGTCAACAATTATTTTCGAATTTCCAAACATTTCATTTCATTTTTGTTCGGTGTTAGGTTTTTTGATGTTTTTTGGGGTTTTGGTTGATGCTTTGTGACTGTTCCTTTCGAGTGACGCTGCTTAAAAGGTTCCCAAAGTGTAAAATTGCCGAATCCCAAGGGGAGTTGAGGGGATTTGAGCAGAGGTACCCTAAAAGTCAACTTCAATCAAATGGGTTGGGGGTGTTAAAGTTATCTAATGTTGGTGCTCACATATTTTCTATTGCTTGAGTTGTGATAAGAATAATACCCTGTTTTATTAATAACCGGTTACTACTAAAGTGATTTTTGCTTAGTCTTAGAGATTAATATACATAGCAAACTTAATTAAATGTATTAAAAAGCACTAAAGTCATTCATAACGTTTAAAGCTAGAATTATATGCCAATAGATAGAATAAATCACATTTTATTATAATAGCCCGATCGTTCTTGAAAGAACAGCAATATACTTGGTAAAAAAAACACAGAAACTGCTGACCACAAAAATATTTTTAGCTATCTTTGCTTAAAACTAATACAAATTGACAACATACCAAATCAAAAGACTTAAGTAAAAAACTCGATCTTGAAAAGTTCGATCATCATAAGATCAAGTTTTTTGCTTAAGTCTTTTGTTTTGATTGGTGTTATATCCTCTCTTTCAGCTAAGAAATTACTTTAATATTTATATTAAAATTCTCAAAATTAAATTTCTTAATAGAATTAGATTATATTATTAAACCATTCTCAGTGCAATAAAGCCATAACCATTCCAGTGGCTGCAAATCCAATCGAAATTCCTGGCCGCCGTGGCCAACCAGTTTCCACTGCAGCCATTTTCCGGCCATTGTGTTTCGGTGGCTAATTGGCGCAGTTGGAATTTGTGTCCCAGTGCCAGTGGTTCCACCTGGAACCCAACCCAAACGGGTAGCGCGTGGTCTTCGCCTCGTTCAAAGCAAATGCCGGGTGAAGAGAGAGAGATCCACTGATCCTAGGATTCAATGAATACATCAACACGGTTCGGAGCGCAGCCGTTGGCCTGGAAATTTATTGGCCCGGCCAGTGTCGGTGCTGCCAATTAACGCCAGGATGAAAGCCAACTGGCGAGCGTGGAGCCGTAGCCACCAGCGACGATGAAGCGATCTTTGAAGCCAGCCGCCTGGAAGTTGGCCAAAGGAGGGCGATGAAGTCGTTGGCTCGGCTGGAGTCGTAAACTCTGATTTATTTCGAATTGAATGTCAATACACAGAGACGTGGCCTGAGTTTTTGGCTCCATGTGGGTCCATGGGTCCGTGGGCAGCGGAGCTGTGGGCTCTCTCTGGCGAACCGCAGGCGGTCCTGACCCAATTTGGCGCCTGCTGGGGCGCTTTCATTAGCCTCCTCGTACATCATAAACAGATTCATAAAATGGGTCCCTCTCTCGCGCCGTCGTTGCACTTGGCGGGGCTCCACTGTTTATGGCGTTGAAAGGCGCATCGAATGTGCTGTGTGTGCTCCTTCTATTTTGCCCCCTTTCCGTGGTGAGGTCAGCCTGCAGTTTGATTTTTGCTATTGCCAGCCGACAGGGCAGTACTACAAACCACTCACCCCTCCATCTGGACTCATTAAAATGTAATTTGAGCGCCTTGCCTCGCATTTCATTTGGGCTGTTTGGGCTGTTTGGTCAAGTGAGCGCTGGCCATCAGATGTGGCCTGGAGTTCGAGTCAGTTTCCATTTCATTGAGTTGGCCAACTGCTCGCCAGCAACCCCCAGAAGCTAGCCCTCTCTTTCCTGGCCAGTTGCCATCTCTTTCTGACTTGGTCTCCGACTCGGATTGATTTATGCCAAGGGAAACCTCGCACAAGGGTTCACTCGTCCCGTCATTTGTGGCACATTATTATTTAAATGATAAATTGTATTTGGCCGGCAACTTTGGTCGCGGCCCGGAGTTTCGTGGGTGTTTCCTTGGATTCCCCATCCCCCTTCGACTTGTGGGCGTTCTGGCTGTTCGTTTGCAGTTTTCCGTTGATTTTCTTCAAGCGGCTTCTCTTCTTCTTGGGTTTTTCTTTGCCCGAAAATTAATCGTCTCATTTGTCCAAATGCCCGCTCTTGGCTTTAATTTGGGAATTAGTGTTGTTTGGTAATAAAATCGATTTGGCTTCCGTATTTGCTCGCTTCTGGTAGTGATTTCTTGGCCAAGTGAGATATCAAAATGGGAAAAGCTTAGAGGTTTTCATTTCTTCCTGTTTGCTGATGGCTGGCAATTTAATAAAGTGGCCTTATGGTAATCTCTTTAATAATGGGAGAAGCTAATGGATGTGGAAGGTCAAAAGGGACTAGGTCAATAGAACTTTTGGGAGGTAATTGTTCATTAGCTTAATCTATTTGTATGTTCCTAATAAGATGAAATCTACAATTCTGGATCTTAAATGTGACGTGTAGAAGTTATTTTAATAAATATTAATCAAGGAAAGTTCGCTTTGGGTGTTGACAATACCTGAAACAAAGGCTTAATGCAACATCTTAGTATTATTTTTAAAGTCCATGGCAAATACTTCTAGCTGTTTTTAGAGAGAACATATTTCAAAGGCACTATGTAATTATGACTGACTTAGAGTTATGTCTCAATATTATATCCCAAGTATAGAATTCCTCAATTATACTTTTCGAAGCTAACTTATGCATAATCCATATTATCGATGCCCCGATTCCCTATATCTGCTGATTTATCGGTGTCGCGGGTTCATCTGCGACAGTTGATAAATTAATTCGCCCGGCTGATTGACTTGCAAACGTGTTTGCTTGACATATTTGCACGTGTCTCGTGTGGCGGTAATTTGATTTTGATTTATGGCCAATTAATCGGGGCCCAAGAGGGGCACTCACACACAACCATCCATCCATCTATCCAACCATTACCCTAGTCAAGCACACACTATCCGAGCGCCTCAGTGGGAAAAGGAACAGTAGTGGCGCGGTGCAGTAGCTGAGCTCGGTCTAATCATAATTTGCATTTAATAAATATTTCATTAAGTAATTGCAACAATTACGTGCATTTGAACTGTTCCCTTTAAATTAGTGCAGTGCAGCCGACCAGGTCAGAACGAACGGAGAGTAATGGCAGGCCAATCCGGACGAGGGGATTAACATTTCAGTCGGATCGGATCAGAATTGGAATCAGATCGGGTGCACAATTATCGCTGGATGCTCGATTTGTATTTATTTTTATAAATAAACTTAATTCGGTTTTTTGTGTGGCACTCTGGTTCTGGTTAATTGCGCCGCTTTGACTCATGAATATGCATTTTTTTCCACTTTTAGCGGAAATCCTTCTCAGGTGACAACTGCCTCGTTTCAGGGAAATGTCAGGGGGGGGGGTGCGGAGCAGTGGAGACCGCTTTACCGCCGCTTCAACTCCCAGTTGGATTCGATTCGAAAAGGTGGAAATTCCGCTGTTCTCTCCGGTCGGCGACTTTGTCTTGTGAATGAAAAACTCCGCTCGAATAAACGGCCTGTGTCGCTTGGCCCAAAGCCACAAAGCGACATTGTGTTGCGGAAAGGACGCCATTTTGAATTGGACCTGCGCGCTCTCTCCGCTCTCTCTTGTAACGCTCGAGGGGGGCGTGGCGAGAGAGTTTCCGCTCTCAGCAGGGGGCGTGCAAGGTGTGTGTGTGTGTGTGTGCGTGTTTGACAGGTGAGCAGGTTGGCCCGTTAGACTGGTTTGCCGCTGCCACAGGCGGCCACTAGGTGGCGACACTAGTTCCCCAAAAAGGCTTTAAGACCTCTGCAAAGGATAGAAAACTTAAAGGCAAACCCTTTGTGAAATAATAGGAAACTTGCACTACCCATGTACTAAGCTAAGTAATTCATGATCCTGGCCTTCTCTACCCTTTTAAGCCATACACAGCGATGGTAAAACGTAAACAAATCATTAAGTTAATTTGTCTGTTGTCCGCAACTGTTGATTACCCATCGTTGAAATGCGTGTGCCACAGTTTCGATTGAGTCAAAAATAAAAGCCAAAACCAGCAGCGGTTAGCAGAAGAAGGCAAATTACAGGTTCAACAATCAATTTAATAATTGAGACCTTTGCATTTAATCAACATTATTTAAAACGTCAAAATATTTGCACTTTCCATGGGCAGTACCCCCTGGTATTTGCATATAAATGCTGTAAGTCCCCCGAAAATCCATGGGGGGGTTGCAGAAGCTTAAGGGGGGGGGGCGACAGGCCACGCCTCAATCTCAATGCGGGCCCTAGACCTAGACAAAGTTGACGAGAGGTGGAAAAACAAAAAAAAAATATCGGGGGAACAGCACCCCTTCCCAACCCTCTACAGGGAAATTTATGGTATTGGTGCGGTTTCAGCACCACCACACAGAGACACCACCGAGAAAACCGGTTGCAAACCACCCGATTGGCGACTCTGCGCGAGAGTGGCTGCAAAAGGTT